GCTAGAGTACTTTGATTACTTGTGGCAGTAACGAATAACCTAACGCGTTAGTTTGCTGTTTGAGTAATCAAATACTTAAGTACATTTTCAGACAAGACATCAGTTACTTCCGTTACTTTTGGAACGCTGGTCCTTCAGCTCCGAAACAGCAACGGCTGTCTTTTGGTTCTAATAACGGAGATAACGTTAAACCTGTCAGTCTGGAAGAAGCCACAGAGCTTGTGGCTCGCTACGTGGTCGGAGAAATGCTGCCGTTGTCTACGGTGGAGTCTAAATAGGTGGAGTAGGACTCGCTGACAGACATATTTCAGACTCAGCACTTGCATTACGCCTGGTACACACTACACGCTGGTACTCACCAATTAATAGGGTTGGGTACCGAAACTCGGTACTTTTTGTACTTTACCGATTCACGTCGGTACTACCGAGTACCGATTCACTTAAAATGAAACGGTGCCAAATTTCGGTACCTGAGGTGGAGGCGGGGTGAGAGCGCATGACTCGCACCTCAGACTCAGCAACAATGGCGACAAAAACAATGTGCAGACAAAAGTTAATGTGCAGCACTGTTCCGAAACCATCAAAATATTGATTTTAGATTTAGATTTTAGAAGTTTAGACTATGGGCCCGAACGACATAGTGCATCCAAATTCACACCCGTTCTTCTCTGTGGATTTTCTCCGCGACTGTGCGTCATAGCGAGAAGCCACGCATATCAGTGGAAACAGCAGAATTGTAGCTTTCTGAGAAGGCCAAGCACTTGTCGGTAATCCAATGTTTTCACAGCGAAAAATCACAATAAAATGATGTATAACAGAGCTTTCATACAGCTTTGCACACACATTACTCTTGGATGGATTACTCGCGAACGCAGGCTCGCACAGAAATGCCACGCATATCACATGAAAGCGCAGGACCACACACATCATTGTGCTGTCATCCCATCACGCTCTAAATACAGATCAATTGTCTACAAAATAAAAACCTGACGAATTTCTTTACAATCCATTATACAGATCTTGTTATCAGTCACTTCATATAGTGAGGAATATCATATCTTACCACGTCTTAAGCTTGCATGTGTTTCTCCCTGTCTATCCACACTTGTAGTCTGGCTTTCAAGATGCAAATATCTCCATATTGTCCAGTTGACACTCCATCAAACTTTGTATGACAAGACCAGCCACTTCACCTTTGCGCACCCAGACAACTGCAGCCTAATGCATGCTGACAGGGCCGTAGTCACTATATACATTGAGGGGGACACGTGCCCCCCCACCAATGCCCAAAATGTACCCCCAATATATAACTGAAACTGAAAAACAAATATTATCTTGGAGGACATCATTGCACTTGGTTGACTATTTTTCTATGGTCTTAGATGTAAATATTGCATGTTTCTTTCAGATAAAACACATTTTTGACTTGTGAATGAGTCAATGGAATTTCTTGCAATAATGAAAAAATACTGGCAAACATGTCCGCCTGGCACAAACCACATATTTTGGACAACTGTGAAGTGACAGAATGTCCCAGCATCATGATTCTTATATTGAGAGTCTCCCCTCTTCATATATGGCAGAATATGTCAACTTCCAACTTGTTGTGGTGAAATACATGTAAAAATGTAAGAATTTAGTAACACAGATTTGTTTTTTCATTGATATAAAAATTAATATAAAGTACAGGCACATAGAAGGACACGTAATGATGGCAAATCTGGTTAGCCCCGATTGTCCTGAAAAAAAAAACAAGATATAGCATGTGTATGTAGCCTTTATAATGACTGTGATATGAGCTTAAAAGTAAAGGCAGTAAAAATACCCCAAAAAGGCCTAGAGTTAAAAAGTACCGAAATAAGGTACCGTTTGGTACCGGTACCGAATTCCAGATACTGGTACCGGTACCGTATCGGTTCAATTATGAACGGTACCCAACCCTACCAATTATCCCCGGTCGTCTTTCACGGCGTGTGTGATGTCATCGGGTTATTCTTGTCCTATTTTTATTTTACTATTATTTGAGTCACTGTGTCTGTTCATGTGCCAGCCGACATGTTGTTGTAGTCACCTAAAAGCATCAGCAGATGGCAGGAGCTTCATTTGAAGCGCCACACGTAAACTGTCAAGCTACTGTATCTTCCACAGAAAGTTCTGACAAATGTTTCAGAATAAAAGCCTATTTAGAAAATGGAGGGATTCTCTCAGCCGAGGTTACAAGGGGCTTTTAATTTGAAACAAGTGTTGAGTTTGAAATGACGGTGTGATATGTTAACTTTACAAAGACAACGGAGCGGATAAAAAGTAAATATATAAACACAGAGGGATTAATGAATAACGGACCGTCTATAATGTAGTTTGTTTCAAATGAAGCTGGGGGCCTCTGCAGTTGTGGTGAGTAAAAGCTCTGCCGCTATTTGTTAATGTTATTACTTTATGTCCGACCGTGAGGATGTAACATTGTTTGCTAGCTTGATGCTAATGACAGTAACCTTAACTCAGCAGGTTGACAAAGTGCCTCTGCTGTTTCACACCATCATTTCCCCCTTTTACTCTGTGTGGTAACATCCCTAGAGGAAATATTAAAAATGCTGGGGTGTTGTTGTCATACAGTTGTCTACGGCAGCAGATCGTTCTGTGTTTCTACTGGTCAAAGTGACAGCTGTGATGGGAGAATTGGATCTCAGTGAAGGGCAAGTGGTCCATAACTTTAATTTTGGAGACAAAAAATGTAGGCTTAGCACCCTGTGGTTCATTGCCAAATAGGAAATGTAAAATACTCAAAAGTACTTTCAAAGTGCTTGAGTTACTTTTCTCAGGGAGTAACGTTGGAAGTACTTTTAAAGTAATTGAGTTACTTTACTCAGGGAGTAATGCAGTAAAGTAACTGGTTACTTTTTTAGAAAGTAACACAGTAACGTACTTTGATTACTTTTAAAGTAACCCTTACCCAACACTGCTAATGAAGAGTATGATAGACAGATTAATCAATAAATAAAGGAATCTTTAGTTGCAGAGCTACACATTTTTGTTTCTTACTGGTGTGCAGCATCATAACATGTAATCCAGCGCGTAATTTTCCTGACTTTTTAAGATGCACACAAAGCACATGGACCTATATCATATGAGTCATAGTAAAAAAAAAAATAGACCAAAGCGTTCTGTGCTTGTTCATAACAAAATATAGGCAGTGGTGGATGAGAGACTGTGGACAGAGCAGATTGAAATATCACTTTTTTAAAAACATTTTTACATGTTGCTAAACAGCTGTATTGGCTTTTCCTTGAGTAGGTTTTATTACACTCAGTAACAAGCGTAGTTGTCATCAGCTCACGTTTTCTTCACCTCTCTGTCTCCACCGTGGCATCTCTACTCCGTGTTTGTGTGTGTCTGTGTATGTGCGTGAAAGTGGTGCAGCAGCCAGGACGAACAGACAGCAGGAGCAGATGCTGAAGCACAATAATAAATTACACCCAAATGTAAAAAAGTAAGCTAACGGTTACAGATAAAAGAGCAGGTAACATTGGAGCTTCTCAATACTACGGTTGTTCATAACTTAGCGCCACGGCTCGTTTACTACCGGTGAGATTAACGGGGTTAAAGCTTCACACATCTGTGGGGAAAAAGCGTATATTAAAAAACTGATCTCGGATTTTACCAGTCGATATTGGGTCATTCCAGTGAAGATCGATTTGAATCAGATGAATCGATTATTTTAACCCAGCCCCATTGTCAACCGTCATGGCTACATATGAGTTTGGCCACACATGGATGTAAACTAACTGCAGTGTGACTGCTTCAAGGAGGCATACAACCGTTAGGTGGAAATTCTTGGTTTCTGAATGCACATGGGGAAAAAAATACCCTAGACACAGACAGACTTGATAAACGTCGGGCACACTGGCGAGACCAATGAAAATGTTAAATTGCAACTGAGAGATTTTTGGTTGCACATGGTCACTCTTAGCCTGGAAATCCAGACACAAATCTAGAAAGATTTAGGGTCTGGCCATGAGTAATGAAAATGGCCCAACTCGAGGGGCAGCACCAAGCATGCATTTGTAAATATCACTGCAAGCAAATGGATAACACTAAGAACAATCAGAACAAAACACGGGGTGAAGTATACACTTAGCTACCAGCAGAGCTAACTGGTAGATTAGACTCTTGCCGTATCCGGTCGGCAAAACAGCAAAAACGTCCTTCTTGCAAAGGAAAGACTCGAGCGCCGTCTTCTGTTCCTCTTTTAGAGAAAAAGCCAAGTCTAACTCGTTCATTGTAGCGGCCAAAGCCGTTTCAAACAACTGGTGTTCATCCGTAGCCATCTTGCAATGTTTACTGACTGATTCCGGACTTCATCGTCGCAGGGCTGTCGTCATCTGTTTAGCTCACCTCTGGCCCACCTATATCAGATACACTGATGTGATTGGTGCAGCCTGGTTTCATGGGCATAGGTAATGAGCATCATTACTGATTTCCAGAGTGACTCGCTGAGCAAATTCAAATTGTGCTCTCGCGAGAACTCTGGATTTCCACGGTAGGTCACTCTGGAGCCCTGAAATGTACTTTTTGCACACTTGACAGTTACAGTTTCACTTTCGAGTAAACCATTATTTTCTGTCAAAAACAGTACTGATAAACATTTCATAACATGATTAACATGTTGTTAAGTACTCAGGCAACTCATCAGGAGTTACAGATAGGGGGACAAAATGATCTAAATGTGGTCCCCCATCCACACCCACTCCTGCAACACCAGTAGTGCAGAGACCTTTGCCTTGCCCCCTCTCAGGCCCTGGCCTGGGTTCATCTCTACTGATTGATCCCCCTGTCAGCGGGCTTGTGTGCCCTTGACTAAGGTGATGGTTCATGTATCGGCCGTAGCAGTGCAGAAAAACTGTTGACATGGTCTTCCTTCTTTGTAATGTATTCCACTGACATGAATGTGATGATTAGCACTGCAGTTAAAAATAACACCAGAAATCAACTTTTGTTTTCAGTGTGCCCAGACCCTGTTGACAAGTATCTGGAAGAGACATCAGTGCGCTACATTTCACCAAGGGGAGCAGTACAGAGCAAGGACACTGCGCCTCACAGTAGAACAGGTGGGTGTTTGTGTGTGCATTCAGGTTATTTTTTACACTTGTTATTTATTCAGTCTGCAGGATCAGAGTATGACTAATGCAGGCAAAAGAATGTCTTTAGAAGGCATTGTGTGCTGTGACACAAGAGCTTGATTAATGTTAAAACTGTTGTCATTTTCTAGGTCCTCAGCCAGTCATCTGCTGTTCTCCGTCAGGACCTCATGTGGGCCCCCCGCGAACAAAGCCAACTCCCCCTGTCCCAAACCGCAAACGGAGGAGAAGTCATTCCTCAGCTGACTGCAGAGAGAAGCAAACATGTGGTAAAAGGAAACGCGTGTAGAGAGAGATCATTGTTTTTGTTGGGTCTGAAAGAACTTATAGGGGGAAAAAAAGTCCAGTTACATTGGTTTAGACAGGCCTGTCACCAGAATATTCATTCAAATAAACACAAGAAGTTTGTGCTCTAGAGAAAGGATCAGCACTCAGTGAATAACCTCCTAAGCCCTATGATAAACTATTATGGCATGGCTTAACTATACAGACCAGTGAGCAGTGATAACTAACATGTCTTTGGGGTCATCGGGTGAGAACCTCCTTTCACCAGTGTTTCGTCTAGTTGGTACCACGACACCTCCAGGAGGCTAGACAGTGATCTCTGGCGTCCCAGAGACACTCCCCTAATGCCAGGTCTCACTGCTCCCCACACCAACCCAATAACCTCCTTTACCTTACATTACACATGGCTTTCTCAGCCCAAACAGCACCGCCACCTTCAACCAAACCCAGGCTCCGTACATGCAAGCTCCAGGTAGAAGCAGTGCTGATACTACCTTTCCTAGCACATTCACCATACTGTGTTTCACACGCTACATAGCATAACTCCAATATAAGCTAAAGTTAAAGGAGATAAATAAACTTACAGGATCAGCAAACACACTCACCTTGCAGCATGGTCTCAAACAAAAGGGATTCAAATAGGCAACTCCCACACTTAAATAACCTTCCTCTTCCTGGATTTCCTCCTGAGCGGAAGTGGATCTCTCCACCTAATCTCAAGGAGTTATGTACCCTGCTTAGTAGTTACCCCTGCTGGCCCCCATCTGATATTATTCCTTCGCTTCAAGATCCATTGGCTACATCTAACTGCTTCATCTGACATTTCCTTTACTGTCTTCCTCAAACTCTGTCCCCGCACTCCGAGTTCCCCCAGGAGTCAGACAGCTGATCTTGCTATGAATCCCCTACACCCCACTTCCACTGGACAAATCCTAGTTTTTCATCCTCGCTGCTCAGAACTGCTCCTAAGTCTGCATATCTAAGCTTTTTTCTTTCATAGGCTTCTTCCACTGAGTCTTCCCAAGGAACTGTCAGCTCAATGAAATAAAATATCCGTTGACTCACTGACCACAACACTATGTCAGGCCTCTGCTTGGTACAAACTATTTCCTGGGGAACAACAAGCTTTCCCCCTAAATCTACTTGCATTTCCCAATCACAGGCACCTTCTAGGCGGCCACACCCTTGCCTCCTCACTAACTTATCCCTTCTGTATTTTTCTCCCTCACGGACAAACTGAATTGCTAAACTCCTATCCTTAACACCTTCTGAATTCACCTGTCTTCGTTCCCCTTCGATGCCTGCAGCTAAACATTTCAACACCTGGTTATGTCGCCATGTATATCGGCCTTGTGACAAGCTAACTTTACAGCCTGACAAAATATGCTTTAAGGTTGCGGTACCTGAACACAGTGGGCATGAAGGGTCCTCATTTACCCACAGTTTTAGGTTCTGGGGGTTGGTAGCACATCGTATGTAGCCCCTACCAGGAATCTAATACGATTCTCCTCCATACTCCACAGGTCCCTCCAACTAAGCTTCCTCTTCTCTACACTTTCCCACTTCAACCACTGTCCTTGTTTAGCCTGGGTCACTACCTTTGCACCCCTAAATAGCTCCTCCTGTCTACGTATCTGTTCCATGACCAGCTTTCTTTTATCTTTGAGACCTGCTTTATTCCATACCGGTTTGCCTGAGCCAAGCCCCAGGCCTCCCCGGCCAAACTGAACATTACCTACAATCTCTGCATGCCTAAGAGCTGCCTCTGCCTCCTGAACTGCTGATCTTGGGTTCCACTTCCTCCCCTTGGTTGGATTTGGAACCACACTCCTAACTACCACATCCTTATTCCCAGATAACAAGAGCTCTGTCCTGACCTTGGTACATTTAAATTCCTCTGTTAAACTAGATACTGGTAGCTGAAGTATCCCTTTTCCATACAATGCAACACTACTTAGGCACCTGGGAGCGCCCACCCACTTCCTAATATAGGAGCTAACCGACCTTTCAATTCTCTCCACAACGGATATTGGAATTTCATAAATTGACAGTGGCCACATTAACCTAGGATATAGCCCAAATTGCAGACAACACAACTTCAACTTTCCTGGAAGTTCTGATTTATCTATTCTATCCAATCCTTCTGCCACATCTTTTCTAAATTTCACCTCCTGTTCCTTATCATTCAACTCTACATTGTACCACCTACCTAAGCTCTTTACTGACTTTTCCCTAATTGTTGGGATTTCCTCATCATCTATGACAAACTTCCTATCACTTAACTTCCCTCTACGTATCGAGATGCTTCTAGACTTACTAGGCTTGATCTTCATGCTGGCCCACTTGAGGTTCTTATTTACCTTCTCTAGTAGCCTCTTTGTACATGGCATTGTTGTGGTCACCAGTGTCATGTCATCCATGTAAGCCCTAACTGGTGGAAGATGCAACCCATTCTGCTGTCTCTCCCCACCTACCACCCACTTGGAAGCCCTGATGATTACTTCCATCGCCATAGTAAATGCTAATGGAGAAATTGTACACCCTGCCATGATTTCTAGCCTCTGCCAACCTGTTGCGAAACCTGCCATACTTAGACACAACCTAATATACTGAAAGTATGCTTGCACTAAGTTGACAACTACCTGTGGCACTCTGAAATAGTCAAACGCACTCCAAATGAGGCTGTGCAGTACTGAACCAAACGTATTTGCAAGATCTAAAAATATTACATGCAGGTCCCTTTTGTTAATCTTCGCTGCCTGAATCTGGTGCCAGATCATGCTAGTGTGCTCTAAACACCCTGAAAAACCTGGTATTCCTGCCTTCTGCACCATGGTATCTATTAATCTATTCCTTTCTAAGTACCTAGCTAATCTCTGCGCAACTGCATTAAAGAAAATCTTCCCCTCCACATTCAAGAGAGAAATCATCCAGAACTGGGTCCACAGACTCCTTCTCCTTAGGAATGAAGACACCCCCTGCCCTACGCCATGCTCTTGGTATAATTTGTTTCTCCCAAACTATTCTTAGCTGTTTCCACAAAAATTTAAGGATATCAGGCACACGTTTATAAACCCAGTAGGGGACTCCATAAGGCCCTGGGGCCAAAGAAGCCTTTGCACGCCTGACCACCTCCTGAACTTCCTTCCACCTAGGTGGCCTGACATCCATCTAATGCTATAACACTCCAAATGGAGGGATATCAGGTGGGAAACCTACAATACTATTCTTCTCTAAATCTGAATATATATTTCTCAAATATTCTTCAACCTCTAGCCTTTCTGCTTTGAGCTGCCCTCCCTTTTCCTGGCTGAACAACTCCTCTTGCAACACCTTAATTCCCTTCCTTTCTTCTTCTGTAGCCTTTTTCCTCTGCTTTCTTAACTGTCTCCTTTCCTTGACTAACTTCTCTATTTCTCTTTGCCGCCTAGACTTACCTGACTGTACCCCCTCACTCCTCTTTCTCTCATGCACCCCGAACCTCTCTACACCATATGAGTAAATTATATCTCCCATCTTTTCTAACCTTTCTATTGCATTTCCTCTAAGCCTACTTAAGATTACTGACAAATCTCTATTAACTATCTCCCATTCTTTACTGTCATTTGCCCTAGGCCATCTAACTCTAACCTTTTGCCCCATGGATGCCCTCTCTGACTGGCATACTGCCCTCAGTGTCACCTGCATCCTCTCTTACTACCCCCTCCTCCTTCTCAGTGGCAGTGTTACTGATATCCTGCGAACTGTGGTTTTCTACCCGCCGCTGGACTGACTGACTCGACTGACTTCTTAGGAAGTACTGATCAATGCGGCTACTTTGCCCTTTCTTTGCCACACACTTCTTTCCCTGATGAGTTCTGAGGCCTTTCACTGATGTTAATTTCTGCCAGCCACAAAGACAAACCTGAAGCATCTTGTTCTCAACTGTGCTACTTTTATCCTCTACAGATGCGCTCGCCTTGCCCTGAGTGCTGCTAATTCTAGCCCTGGTGGATAGGTCCGTGCCCCTATCCTTCACTGAGTCACAGAGCCAATGCATAGTCGTGTCTGTTCCAATGTCTGTTACTGTGTAATCCACCTGTGAGTCATCTTCCACCTGTGCTCTCGGTGACTCTTGGGGTATTTTCCCTATGTTGGCTGTAGCTAATTTTGGTTGTAATAAGGCTGCTAGGCCTCACCACTGCTACCATGGGTTGCTAGCCCATGCCAGCACCTTTGGGGTCTTTTCCCTCCTGTCAGCTGTCTTTGGCATTGTTTGGCAAAATGTTGGCATTGTACATTTCTGCAAACCCCGGATATGCTACATTTGTGTGTTTCGCATGTATCATATCATTTCTGATGTGATGTAGTTCAGATTACATGTAGATTAGCTGAATTTTTTCTTCAGGGGGAAGAGGGGATGGTGGATAGAGTGCAGCTCGGGACAGGTATTGCTGTCTGAACCCTCAAGAGAGTTGTAACTGAGCCTGTCACTTGGTATTCAGATTTTTAATGTCTGAAACTTAGACTCTGTTGGTCCTGTCATGCATGTGTGTGCACTCTGCAGTGGCAGTCTTTCAAAAACTGTCCCAAATGTTGCAGATGGGAAAAATGAAAATTACCTGAAAAACTCTTAAATTTCACTTTGAGAACCCTGGGGGTACCCTGCATTGGCCAAATGTGCAGAAGTATGAAAATATGCAAGATTCCTCTTTTCATTATTGAAACATTTAAGGCATTTTTTTTTGTCTGCCCTTACTGTGGAGAAAACATGATAAAGTGTCCTCTAGGGTGTTGTTTCAGTCTTGAAAACATGTTCTAATTTGTTGACATCTTATTCTGGTATTCAGAGTAGGGCTCTCTGTTGATAATTTTGACTGTAACCTTGTTCTCTCCCTTTTAGATATCCGCCTCCGGGTTCGTGCTGAATACTGCCAGCATGAGTCTGCGCTTCAGGGCAATGTCTTCTCCAACAAGCAAGAGGCGGTGGAACGACAATTTGAGCGCTTCAACCAGGCAAACACTATTCTCAAATCCCGAGACTTGGGCTCCATCATCTGTGACATCAAGTTCTCTGAGCTCACCTACTTGGATGCCTTCTGGAGGGACTACATCAATGGATCGTTGCTAGAGGCCCTTAAAGGGGTCTTTATCACAGATTCCTTAAAACAGGCTGTGGGCCACGAAGCTATAAAACTCTTGGTCAATGTTGACGAGGAGGACTACCAGGCTGGTCGACGCAAACTGCTCCGTAATTTGGTCACAAATGGAGGGTGCCCACCAGGAGCTAGCAAAGACTTTGTATCTTAGACCCACTCTCCAGGCAGTAGCATACAGGAGGAATGCAGCTCCGCCTCCCCCACAGAGAATAGAGTGAGATGTGGTTGTGTCGTCTGAGCTGCCTGAAGTGTGTGCCTACAAGGAACTGAAGGACTCCTATCCACCGCATTGATTCCTTCAGAGCTAAGGTCAGGATATCCACCCCTGAGAGTAGCATGCGGGGTGATTGATTGGAACTATGTTAGCAAAAAGAAGTAGGAGCATACAGGTTGACATTATTTTGAATGTTAGACTGGTCATTTTCTTCAAGGAGGAGAATGCTGATTCGTGTGTGCATTAACTTTAACTCATTTCTGGTATGTTAGCTCATCTGTTAACTGATAATACTCTTCACCACCTTTCAGTTCAAAATCCAGTTCTTTTCAATACAGTAAACATGCGTAACACTGACATATTACTCCCAGTGGGAGTTGTACTTTATTGTCAAACTGGTTCATCTTTTTTCCAGGTTTTTCAGGTATATTACAGATTGATTGGATTAACCAATAAGTAAGTGTTCTGTACAGTGTTAAAGAAAGGCACAGACCATAGTTGACTTAATTATAATTTGTTTTTCTATTTCTTCCAGCTTATTATCCTGCTTTCCCAAGACTTTGCAGAGTTTCTTGTCTGTTGAGATGAACACTTGCAGAGCCTTTGTGTTTTTTACTGGCTCGTATTTGGCCATCGTGAACATCATTTTGTCTCAGATTTGTTTTCACAATTTTTCTTTGTTTTACAACAGGGCTTGTTGCCAGCAATTGTGATTCTGGCCTTATGTAAAATTTAAATTTTTCAGTCACTGCCAATATTTCAAACTTTGTGGATTGTTCAGATGTGTCGAATCATATCCAATGAGTCATTCTCTGGTGTTTTAAATTAGTTTGGATTTTCAAATCAGTGCCAGTTTCACTGTCAGCCTGTACCTCTGCTAATTCACCATCTCACTCATGAAATAACACTGAACTTAATCGACAGCAGATGAAAATCACAGTCATTGTATGTAGAGTCATCTAAGTTGTGCAGGTAGTAAGATGCCAGAACAAATTAAAATAATTGACAGTGCCTGTTTTTAAGATGTTAAAGATATTTTAGCCAGCTGTAGTTGAACTCAAGCTTGCTAAATCCTCAGCAGTCTTCTCTGGGGATAAGTCATGCTTCCTGGTGGATGAATATGTAGTTGAGTCCTCATATTCAAAAAGTGTTATGAGCAAGTGTTGCAATCACTTCTTCATCCACTCGCTTGACAACCTGTTGGATGTTTTGGAGAAGCAGCTACAGGTGTTCTCAGCTACATCCCCCTCTTTTAGGAAGTGAGGCATCTACACAGGCATTCACAAAGTGATTGGGGATTTTTTTAATAAGGTTTGGAAACAGAAAAAACTAGCACTATGCGGACCAGCATAATAGTGAGGTATTTAGCATGTTAATCCTCTACAGTTTAGTGCTGATCTTATACAATAATGTGCTTTTAGTGGCATAACACCATTTTTACAGTGTAGTCTGAAATGCTGATTAACCAACATGTGGATTTATATTAATTTATTTTTGGTATCCATGGAATGAGGTGGATTAACAGAAGACACTAGGTTTGACAGTATTACTGATGTTAATTTTATGCAGTAAAATACACTCAGTGGCCACTTTATGAAGCATACCCCTCTAGTTCTGGAAAGGCTCCCTGAACAAGTAGAAATATTCACAGCATGGATTCATTGAGGTGTGGGAGACTAGATTCTGAGATTCTGCATCATATTTACAGGATAGCCCCACACAATTGCTGCAGATTTTGTGGCTGCACATTCATGCTGCAGATCTCCCATCTCACCTCAAACTATAGGAGCTGCACTGTCGGCTGGAGATGTTTTTGTATTTCTGCAGGCTGCAAGATTTCAACCAGGCTGGTGATATAATACTCAACTTATCTGAAATAATGTTTAGCTGTAATAACGTTTTCAGGATATCAGTAGCTTATATGGACCAGTACACATTCATCCCGTACAGCTTGTTATTTTTGAGTAACTTCACCCTTTCAGTTTTTAAGCATTGCAGTGTCAGCAAGCTGCAGAAATTGTGCACATTAAAAGTTCCTGATATACCCAGCCAAGAGTCCGCTGTTGTGTGTCTTTGAGCCCAGTGTGGCCAACAGTTGCCTGTAGTTTTCGTGGTGTGTCCCCATGTCGACCCTTATTAACAGCTAATTAATCACGTATTATTAGTGGGGATGTAACGATATATTGAATTTCATGATATCACGAGAAAAATGTTGTGATATCACGAAATTCAATATATCGTGATATCACGATAAAAATGTCTCGATACCATTGTGGGATTGTAATAAAATCCACCACAATATGACATGGTTATTTTGCTAGTGCAGCTGCATTCCTCTGTTTCTCCTTTTTGGTTCATCAACACTAACGCTTGCCTGAGGCAAGTAAACTCTGTGTTCAGGCAAGTGAATGCCTCATGCAGTTGTAAAATTAGGCAAGTGAAAATAAATGTGATGTATGTAACGTTATCTGAAAATAAACTGTATCACTGAAGCGGAGATTTTCCCGCTGTGTCTTTCTCACCACCAGGCTTTGAACAGGACTGATAAGAAAAATCTGAAATTCTAGACATTGTAGAAGGTAACTCTGAAGTTGATGTCATCTAGGACATAGTGACACTAACGATAAACATCTCTGGAAGGCTGCATGTGAGAAACTCGCTTACGGTGCATCCGGAAAGTATTCACAGCGCTTCACATTTTCCACATTTTGTTATGTTTCAGCCTTATTCCAAAATGGATTATATTCATTTTTTTCCTCAAAATTCTACACACAACACACCCCGTTTTTTTTTAGTTTTTTGCAAAGTTATTAAAAATAAAAAAACTAAGAAATCACACGTACATAAGTATTCACAGCCTTTGCCATGAAGCTCAAAATTGAGCTCAGGTGCATCCTGTTTCCACTGATCATCCTTGAGATGTTTCTACAGCTTAACTGGAGTCCACCTGTGGTAAATTAAGTTGATTGGACATGATTTGGAAAGGCACACGCCTGTCTATATAAGGTCCCACAGTTGACAGTGCATGTTGGAGCACAAACCAAGCATGAAGTCAAAGGAATTGTCTGTAGACCTCCGAGACAGGGTTGTCTTGAGGCACAAATCTGGGGAAGGGTACAGAAAAATTTCTGCTGCTTTGAGGGTCCCAATGAGCACAGTGGCATCCATCATCCGTAAATGGAAGAAGTACGGAACCACCAGGACTCTTCCTGGAGCTGGCCGGCCATATAAACTGAGCGATCAGGGGAGAAGGGCCTTAGTCAGGGAGGTGACCAAGAACCCGGACACTTGTCTGTCCTATCCATTAAAGGCTAAAAATGGCCAAAAAAAAAATCTTAAAAAAATCTTAAAAAAAAAAAAAAGGAGTGGCTTCAGGACAGCTCTGTGAATGTCCTTGAGTGGCCCAGCCAGAGCCCAACTTGAATCTGATTGAACATCTCTGGAGAGATCTGAAAACGGCTGTGCACCGACGCTTCCCCTCCAACCTGATGGAGGTTGAGAGGTGCTGCAAAGAGGAATGTGCGAAACTGCCCAAAGATAGGTGTGCCAAGGTTGTGGCATCATATTCAAAAAGACTTGAGGCTGTAATTGCTGCCAAAGGTGCATCAACAAAGTATTGAGCAAAGGCTGTGAATACTTAAGTACATGTGATTTCTTAGTTTTTTTTATTTTTAATAAATTTGCAAACATTTCAAAAAAACTTTTTTCACATGGTTATTATGGTGTGTTGTGTGTAGAATTTTGAGGAAAAAATGAATTTGATCCATTTTGGAATAAGGCTGTAACATAACAAAATGTGGAAAAAGTGAAGCGCTGTGAATACTTTCTGGATGCACTGTATCTTGCCCAGAAGCTCACCTTCTCTGGTGTGATCATATCCCCTTCAGAAGCTTTGTAATCCAGCCTTGAACTGCGAAGTGTTTTTGGACACTTTGTAAAAATAAATGTAGAATGATTAATCCCACACTGAATGTCTTCTGTGATTATCATTTTCCTGTGTTGAAACAGTTACTGTTGTTATAAGCTGTCCGCGATGCCTGTTGAGTCTGTTGACCAATCAGAGACTGTGTTCCTGACGTATCGACCAATCAGAGGTTGTGTTCCTGACAGTGTAGCAACTCAAATCTCACACGCACTGGATACACAATGCAATAATGAGCAACCGTGTTGTTTTTGGCTTAAAATGTTCCTTAAACCACCTGAAACTGGCCAAGTAAAACAGGCAATATAACAATGTTTGAGTTAGAACCATCCCATCCATGTAATTGTTACCTGTTGATATTATGTTTTGTACATTAATAAATTATAATTGTACAAATCCCTGTTAAATTATTTAGAGCGTAATGCCGAGCCCTGATTGTACTGTTTTTGTTTGAACAGCAGAGGGTGCAATCGTACTAGTCACTTCAGTTGAAGGCTTGTTAAAATAAATATTTTGAGCATATGAGGGTTTTTGGCTATTCTGCATATTTGTGGTAATTTTTTCTTTTTTTTTTTCAAATGAACGCTCAAGCAGATACTGAAAGTTTGTATACTTTGATCTTTTAAACACTACTTCTAGAACTTTCAAGGCCAAATAATCATGTCTTGAACACAAATCAAACATTTTCTGTAATAACTCATGCTTTGAAAAATGTGACTCACATCCATGGTTGAAACTAAGGTCATGACACAAAAGTCAGATTGTGACATGTTTGTCTAAGTGGTGTAGCCATAGGTAGCTGTGCAAGATGGCGGACCTTTTTGTACATGTACGACTCACATTGACGCGCGACTCATGGTGTATTGATAGGGCTCAGTTCCGATGAGAAAATGGCAACATACAATCAGATTGATTCTTCAATAAAGGACATTATTTCAAGTCATCATTTTTCTTCATCAATTAATATCATTAAGAATATTAAATCGTGGACTTTTTATCGTGGTTATATTGTACCATGAGTTTTTGGTATTGTTACAGCCCTAATTATTTGATGACGATAATACATGATGCTGATGAGAGCACTGTCCTACTGGCAGCTCAGTTTACTCAGTTACTGACTTCATCCATTTTGAGCATTTATCCATAGTTTATACACGGGCTTTAATTTTCTTCTTGCAGAGGCAAAACATTGCAGGCTGACCATGCCAATGCGAAGCAAAACTTCTAGCTTCCAGCTGAAATTTTTAATCAAAATTCTATTCAGGGAATACGGCAAAAGTGTTCAACTGGATTGACAGTATAAAAATTGTAGGCTTGTTTGTAATGTTAATCTTTGTGTGATACTTTGTGGTTTAAGATTACAGACTACTACAGATGGGCTATTTCTTCTCATGCAGGTGCAGAACTTACATGCATGTTGGCAGCCAACTGGCTGTCAGCTGTAGACTTTGTTCTGTGTTCTTGTGTAACTTCACAAAAATCGTGAGTCAATCGTTTATCACCAGACTTAAGTGTCAGTATTAGGTAATCCTGCAAAATCCTAGATTATATGCAATGATAACATGTTTTAATTTCTTGTTTTTTACAGTATCTGAGCATGACAACAAGTATACTATAGTTAGACAACCACTATGGTCACATTTGATAAATAGCAAATGTCACTTATGGGTCTGTGATAGAAGGGAATTTCCAGTATCCTTTATCAAAGTCACACACACCTACCCATCCATCAGCCTGAACTTCACCTCCTTACTTTTCAATAAAGTACACACTACTTCTTGCATTGGCACTAAAGGTTGGCATTAAATCAAGAGATATGTAATCAACCAATATGGACACAATTTCTAGAATTACTGAACTGGTGTCAAGGGCTCACAATAGTCCTAAATTTTACCCTTCAAATTGTGGTTTTAAAAAACGGAAATAATTTGACATGTTGAAATGCCATTACTGGTGTATGAGGACTGTTTATGACTTGCTGCAAACTCAAAGTACCTTTGTTTGAAAAGGTTCAATATCAGACGGTGACAAAGTAGAAGTATACTGCTGAGCGCTAAAATTATTTTGATTTTTTAGACAGGGATAGATAAGAGCCTGAATGCCATTTTTATAAGAACTATGAAATGCCAGTCTCTAATGCTAATATTTGTTTTTCAGTGAAGAATGCCAGATGGTTGACATCTGCATATGTTTTTACCAAATATATTCTTCATACTAAAAATGCCCAATCTTATCTCCACTATCATACCATCCATGGTTGCATATCAAAACACTCATGTCATGACTGACAGGCCACTATTACTGTGAATTACATAGAGTAGGCCTACATTTTATACATTTTTACTCCTAAAGGTTGCCAGTTAGTGTCTGTTATATAGGTTGGTGTATGTCATGTTGATTGTATATTTTGTTAGTTGTCAAATGCAGCTGTCTCTTATGCAAAATTGCATGTAACCTGTTCTCTCCAGAAATGTCATAGAAACTCACAGTGCTTACATTTTGTAAATAACTAACTAATGTCACAGCTTTTTTTTTTGTTAAATTTTGCATTTCTTTCAGAAAGTAGGATTGTTAATAAATGAAATGGATGGGTTTTGTTGAAGTCTTAGTCCCAGAAATTATTATTAGCATTATTATTATTATTATTGTTATTATCATTAATATTTTGTCACGACATAGATCAAACATCATTTTAGAAATATGGCCCAAACGTGCTTTGACACACAATCCCTGTATATGATGCTGAATGTTTGAATACATGTTTAAACTGTGTATGACAATTTACATTAGACTAGTCCTGGGTGCATCTTATTTCTCTTAGACATGTGTCCTTATTCCCGTCAATCAACTCTTGCTCCTCAGCTCATCAAACTCAATGTGAAAAAGACATAAAGGAAGGAGAAGTCAAGGCAACACAATTTGTCTGACAAAAAAGCAAACCAAGTTTACTTGGACCATGGTTGTTCTTGCAGAGACTTGTAATGTAGAGACATGTAATGTACGTCAGTGTGAACCATACTCTACCAGTGGGATGGTATTGCTTTCAACACATACACAAAATGAAATGATAAAATATTTGGTGGGTAGTCCTGTCGAATTGCTGACCAATAAAAGTACTTTGCTGTGTTTCTATATGCCATGGATACCATGCGATCAGTTTATTTATTATGATTCAGAGCTTTGACAAACCACTGCAACAGCTGGTCTGCAGCACCACTTTACACAAAATAGATTGTGTGTGTGTGTATACATATACAGTACATACATAAAAAGGTCCATCAGGTGTTGGGGAACCGGGGCAACCTGAGAGAAATGGGCTGCTTGAACAAAACATAGAAAGACGAGAGCAGAAATTATGGGACTGTTATCAAATTCTGCTACATAGACTGGAACACTTAATTGGCCTAAAAGGTTCTGCACTAAGCTGGTTTGAATCTTATTTATCTGATTATTTTCAGTTTGTTCATGTTCATGATGAATCATCCTTACATACTAAACACTAACGTGTTTTGGAGTTCCGCAAGGTTCTGTGCTCGGACCAGTCCTATTTACTCTATATATGCTTCCTTTAGGTAACATCATTAGAAATTACTCAGTAAATTTCCATTGTTATGCGGATGATACACAGTTGTATTTATAAATGAAGCCAGAAGAAAATAATCAATTAACTAAACTACATAAATGCCTTAAAGACATAAAAACCTGGATGAGCACCAATTTCCTTATGTTAAATTCAGACAAAACTGAAGTTATTGTTCTTGGCCCCAAACAACTCAGAGACTCTTTATCTGATGACATAGTTTCTCTAGATGGCATTGCTCTGGCCTCTAGCACTACCGTAAGAAACCTCGGAGTAATATTCGATCAAGATTTGTCTTTTAATTCTCATTTAAAACAAACCTCACGGACTGAAAAGATGCAGAAAAATTGGTCCACGCTTTTGTTACCTCTAGACTAGATTACTGTAACTCCCTATTATCAGGTAGCTCTAATAAATCTTTAAAAACTCTCCAGCTAATTTAGAATGCAGCGGCACATGTACTAACAGGAACTAAGAAACGAGATCATATTTCTCCTGTTTTAGCTTCTCTGCACTGGCTCCCTGTAAAATCCAGAATTGAATTTAACTTATAAAGATCTAAATGGACAGGCTCCGTCATATCTTAGAGAGCTCATAGTGCCATATTATCCCACCAGAACACTGCGCTCTGAGAATGCAGGGTTTCTCGTGGTCCCTAAAGTCTCCAAAGGTAGATCAGGAGCCAGAGCCTTCAGCTATCAGGCTCCTCTCCTGTGGAATCATCTTCCTGTTATGGTCCGGGAGGCAGACACCGTCTCCACATTTAAGACTAGACTGAAGACTTTCCTCTTTGATAAAGCTAAGAGGCCGTTTACACATGGCCGGCTATTTTCATAAACGGACATTTCACCATCTCCGTTTTCAAAAAGATCTTCGTTTACACTTACCCGTGTATATATACACAAGAGCATGCCAAACCTGTAGGTGGCAGTGTAACGAGAAGCTCAAGCCTTCCATGTATCCATTGTCACCATAGCAACATAAGTCGCACTTTTGACACAGGCATAAGTTCCGGCGCATACTGTGACGTCGGCTGCCTACTCCGTTTATCTCCGTTTATCTCAGTTTACATGCAAACGCGCAACCGGAGTTTTCCAAAATCTCCACTCTGGCCGGAGTTTTTAGAAAGACTCGTTTTCAGAGGAGAAATCTCTGTTTGCGTGTAAACGAAGGGCACAAACGAAGGAAGATGTCTCCGTTTATCAAAATCACCGTGTACGTGTAAACGGCCTCTTATAGTTAGGGCCGGCTCAGGCTTGCCTTGTACCAGCCCCTAGTTAGGCTGACTTAGGCCTAGTCTGCTGGGGGACCTCCTATAATACACCGGGCACCTTCTCTCCTTCTCTCTCTCTCATTCATGTCCTGTTACTGCATGTCACTAACTCGTTTCTTCTCCGGAGCCTTTGTGCTCCACTGTCTCGTAGGTTAACTTGTATTGCAGCGGTGCCTGGATAGTGTGACG